TCCGCGCACTCTCCCAAAGGCCGGCGAGGGCATTGCATATCATTCCTACAGCGTAGCACTCGGAATGCACATGTTGAGGAATCAGTGGCCCAGAAGCCAGGTTGATGCACTGGCAAACCTACGCCTGCTTCACAGAAGAGTCCTTCGGGACAAGGCAAACAACCTGCTCCTGTACTCGCATTGCACATGAAAAGGCCCTCTGCACAGCGGCATTCTGAGATTGACTGTGATCCGCTCTCTTCCGTCACTTGTCCAAGGCCACATGGTATGCAAGTCTCCGACTGAGAGACGGGAGTGTAGCTTCCTTTCGGGCACCTCTCGCATGCGTGCATGCCTGGCCTTTCTGCAAAAAAACCTGCAACACAAATCGTGCACTTGGTGGCACCCAAATCCTCTGAGAAACTGCCCTTTTCACAGGGCCTGCAGGATGTTGAACCTGTGACATTGGAAAACTGTCCTTTTGGGCATAACTCTTGCACACCGTTTTCACATTGGAAGCCCTTTTTACATTCCTTGCACTGCCCAGATTCCTCTTCTTTGTACCTGCCGGCGTCGCAGCGGAAAAGGTTGGCAGGTGGAAGCGCAGTGCGAGATCCATCCATCCAGTAAGTGGCACCTTCCAGAGTCAACTGGCCACTAAAGGTGCTGAAAGTGCCCACCAGCATCCAACCCTCTGGCTGCATGTTTTCCATCTCATAAGCAACTGTTTTCCGGTCACCATTGCTATCAAAGCTTACAAAGCCGGAAATCCCTTCAAACTCCGTGATTCGAAGCTCCTGCAGCAAGGCCTGGCCTTTAATCTCTGAAATTGGGATGCCTTTGTTCAGGAGCGCGTTGATGGCAAAAACAAAGGCATAGGCGGCATCAAAGTAGAAAGTAGAATAGACATCCAAACCAGCATCCCCAATTGAAAAAGTGCTATCTGTAATTGGCGGGACAATGGCTTCATCCAGAGTCACGCGAAACTTGTCAATTTTGTAGCGATCCTTCGCGACTGAAGAGACCACATCAGCAGCTCTCATCTTTGCCCAGTGGTTCATGAATTCGGCAAACCTTGGACCTCTGCTCACAGGTTTCCATCGCATAAAACCAACAGGAAAATGGTCGAAAACGATGGCTGTCTCGGAGGCCAGAATCTGCCAACCAGACCCTAGCATGCCCTGCTCCTCTAGTACGGGAAGCAAGTTTGCAGTCAAATCCACATTGGTGGAGAGAAAAAGAAAGTGTGAGCCAAAGGATCGAGCTAACTGAATCGCCATCAAGGCCTCCTCCTTCACAAAATCCTCAGCCATATTGCGCAGAGCCACACCTTTGAAGCGCTCTGCCTCACCTTAGAACGGCACATTACTCGCAACACTCGATGAGCGGCATCTCTTCTACCACACTTCGATTTCCACATCTTGTTGCGGTATTCCGCTGACCCAATGACCATGAGTTATGCTATGCCACTGGGTCGAGGCGCCACATGTATTTATGAGTTCAAGAAGCAATGCAACAGCTAAAGGGCTAAAGGTTATAAAGGTTCCTTGAAACACGTGTTGGGTCTAACTTCTACCCCCGCTCTGCTCTGCCTTAGACGACCCTCACCACCAACTAAGACATGTCTACACATGTTGGTGAACTTTACCAAAAAAGCTTAATGTTCTAGATGATTCTACAAAGTTTCTGTGTTACTACAGACACAAATCCAATAGACAGCTTTCCTCGCTCCAAAGCCCGGCCTAATTGATGGTTCTTGATCTCACAATGCTTTCAGGACATTTCAGGACGAGCTAACCCAGAAACCTCCAAAGAACTTTGCCGCCCAAAAGTGGCCCAACCCTCCAACTCGTGCACTGTTGAAAACCTCAGACCTCCCAAAACGACTCGCGACTCGGCGAAGGTCCTGCTTTTACACTAGGACTCGGACCCTGCTTTACAGGTACTCACCCTGGTGAGGAGAAGCCGACCCGACAGGCCCAGCCAACTCAGGCCGCAGTGGCAGGCCAATGTGACCATGTGTGTTCCGTCATGGAACGCAAGCACACACACCCCAAACCCACCCCCCTGGCAAATAGAACCACTAATGCAGAAACATCCTTTACTAAGCCTTGTCAAAGCTTATTAATTTTTAAGGCTTAGGTATATCCCCCACTGAAAAATAAGCCTAAGATCAGCTCAAACAAGGAGTTTCAGGGAGAGAGCAGAAACATTGCAGGTAACTGTGAGTGCTAAGACTGCGTGATGTTTACATACTTTGTTTGTATATGTTTGTATTTGGTACACCCGGGAGGAAGGACATGATCGACATGTCTTAAAACAACACGTGCACAGGTGCGGTGTCGTAGGCAACCCCCTGATAAGGCGTCTTAAGGCCTATTAAGCCTGGATAGGCCTCAATAAGGCTGCATTTTTGTCCGAGAGCTGGTGTCCTTACCTTCCTCAAAAAAACATGAATGTGCCAAGTATTACAAAACGATGTAACATACACTTGATTCTCGCGCAGGTCCACGCAGAAACCATGGACTTAGCCAAAGCCTCCACCAGCATGTTCATCCATGTTGATGTGTAATATAAAAAAGAATGTGGCAAAGCTGGAATGCTTATGAACTCTTTTCGGTCCAATCTTACACAAGATACAGTTACAGTACAGTATCAAGAATGAAGTGACAACTTATTTGCCAGGGAGGGGGGGTTCAGAGGGGGTGAGTTACGTTCCATGTAGTCTGTTGCGCAGTTGCACATAGTGATGCAACACGGCCTCTGTTTGAACACAGCTTGCCCCGCGCCCGGCCCGCACCCTCCCGTTTTGAACGTCTTCGGTCGCCTGCCACTTGCGCTTCATCTTCGATGGCCTGGAACAGGCCCTTCCCGTAGGGTTCCATGCCATAGATGCACACGGCCAGCGGAACATGGTACTTCACCATCCAGGCCCAAAAGGCTTTCGCCTGGATGGTATCGGGTGGTGTAGTCCTCAAGTAGTAAGGATAGATATCCTTGTTTGACAGGACTGGGCTCGTTCCTAACCCAATCTGTGGCATCTGGGTGGCCGCTGAAATACTAGCAATCGGCATATCAATGGATGAGAATAGTCCTCCAACCAAACCAATGACTGGCGCTGCACCATCCAATCCCAATTGCAAATCCAGCGCTGTGGCCACACCCACTTCAGGCTTCGAGTGACTTGTCCCAAAGCGAAATGTGATGTTCGCCACCTGTTGTTCTGCTCAATCACAGCTAAAAACCCGAGAGGTTCGATGTGTTTAAAGTCTGGGAGACGCAGCACAAAAAGAATCACATACAGTACAACAAAACTCTTCTTTCGCTTCACTAGGGTTGGCCAGATTTCGTGCTTTTCTACTCAAGTACTCCAAACCCACTCGGGTTTGGGCATCCGTTCTTGCTCAAACCGAACCAACAAGGGACGGCCCTTTCGGCTCTACAGGGCGGCGGCGGATCGACCTCGGAGGATCGGACCACGTCACAGGACGCAGCTGCTCAGATCGTAGCGATGCTACAGAACGATGCCACAACCAGGGGGGACGCAGATTGGCCAAATAGTTGGGGAAAAAAAGGGGATGGAAAGGGTTACTCGGAACTCGCGAAGGCAGACTCAAAGCCGTCACATCTTCACGGCAACGTTGCCGTAGCTCGTCACGGCAAAAAAAAAACGTTTTGCTTCGAACGCGTCCGAAACGTCGGTTTCATGGAACATGTCTTCGGTCACACGGCTTCACGGCCTGTGGATGCAAATTGGGTATCGGTATGACTGGGAGACCAAAGCGCAAAACCTTCTGCGGCTCAAAGTTCTTCCGGAGGTCCAAGTCAACACTCACCGCCACTGCCATGTGTACCTGGGAATAGCTGGTGAACGGACCATAGACGCCCAACCAGAGTTCTTGACTTGCACCAAGCACGCATGCCAGGCACAGAAATACACTTCGAACCATGGCGCGGGGTCTAGGATCGAAAAACATGTTGGTGAAACAGCCTGGCTTTGTTTGAAGCGAGCTCTTCTTGATGACTATTGTTGCACGTTTGAGAAACCAGGATTCCTTTCGAGAACGATGTCTTGCTTTCGAGAACCTTGACGGCTCTTGGCCGAGTTGCGTCTGAACGACGCCCGATGTTTCGTGAAGAGCCAGAATGTTGCGTGCGAGAACCAGCGCTGTTTCTTCCGCCCGCCCCGGACTCTGGACTCTGAACGTAAAAATCCTTGAATCCTTCAAAGTTATCTTAAGCTGTTGAATCTGGGAATGCTTGGCAAATGGATATTTTACTTGCAGCATCGTCCCTTCTTCACGGCTCAGACGGGTTCTCGGCAACTCTTTCCACGGCCAAGACCGAGGGTCGACATGGCGCATTTGCGTCGCGTCGACGTGAGTGAGACGACGTTTGGGTCTCTGCACTCCGAGGGACGTTGGCTTCCGGTGGTTTGTTGCTTCAAAGATCCAATCCTTTTTCTATATATATATAAGCGACAGAGTTTTCGGAGCAGCAAATCCCACATGGTTCGGAGTGCCTAAGAAGCACTGCCGCAGATGCACAAATTGAACTCTTGGGCCTTTCCCAGCGACCAAAACGTGCGAACTCTTTTTTCGTCTGAAAAATAAGGACCCTTGTTTGTCCAAAAAGTATCATGCCGAATCATCCTAATCATGCCCTTCATGGTGGATGTTTCACCTACGGAGTTCCGCAGTGTTGGGCGCACGATGCACGATCAGAACTTAGTGACTACCAGGCGTGCACACCATCTCCGGCCCAAGAGTGGCATGTTCAGAAACCAGGTCGTGACACGGAAACCGCCGCACAGTCCGCGCACATCGGCGGATTCCGGCGCTGTTTTCAGCGCAGCTCCCTGAAGCATGTTTGAGGAATAGGCCAAGATCTGACCCTGCAGTGTAATTCACAAGGGAATAATAGGACGCTTGACTCAGACTTATTTGGATTCCTCTGAATTCTGTTCCGAAAAACATGTCGGCCTTCAAACCCGTACTCGCCTTGGATCTCGGATCAGCCACCTACAAGGCCTCAGAGTGAGGTGGCCTTGAGCCCGCCGCGGTTGTCCATCGTGCGGGTCCGGACGCCTTCGTTCAATGTCTTTTGGTCGCACCACCCTGTGTGTTCGGAGGATCCGTCGTACAGAGTCGCCAGACGTCCAAGCGCCAAAAAAGAAAATAGCGAGGATGAACTCACGACGTCTGTCTCTTGAAATTGCAAGGCATCAGCGGCATCAGAACAATCCTAGCTCCTCTGTGGCTGTTTTTGTGGGAACCCACCTAACCACTGGCACTGGCATCCAGGATTCACATGTGTCAAGGCCTTTGGTTGATGACCTCATGTTGGAATACGCTGCAAGGCTAAAACGTGTGTGACGCAGAACCTCCCCCAAATCTCTGGGAAAGGTAAGTCTTGCTCCAGAAAGCCTGACAACCAGATCCAGAGATCTAGTGCGTGCCGTGTTCAATCCTTGCCACGGAGCGCAAAGGTCCTAGCCGCAAACCTCCGCCGGAGCGCAAAGGTCCTAGCCGCAAACCTCCGCCGACGTTTGCTGAGCTTTGGCTTTCAGCTCGGTGCGACCAAGTGGCGCCTTTGTAGGCCGCAAGCCCAGGACCGGTGCCCGAATGGAGGGCAGCGACCTGGCATTCGGTTCGCCGGCAATGGTGGTGGAAATTCCGGGGTTCCACAGCGGAAGATCTGCGTGAGCCTGAGGTGGTTCCAAAGAAGCAAGAATGCCTGCGAAGGTTGGATATGTTGTTTCTTGATCTCAAGTCATCTGGGACTCATCACGAGTAGTAGCAACCACTCTGACCAAACACGAAACTTGCTAGCATAAATATCATAAATTATCATAAATTAAATATCATAAATCATACATACTTTAGCTTCAAAACGCGTTCAGCAACAGATTTCTCACCCAACACTGCCACCCACTCAACACATGCGCAGGCAGACACGGTCCTCGATCTTCTTGGTATGAACAAAAAGCCTCATTGGTATTCGGTGTGCCCCACTGGATCAATATACAACTGGGCCATGGCTTGAAACGTGTTGTTTTCCGATCCAGCATGTCACCTCATGAATCTTTGACTTTGTTCAATACTTTTACATACCTTATACAGTTCAAAGGGGCCTCAAGTGGCCTTGATTCTAGCCGCTAGCCAGTGGCCTGACGCTAGCCAATCCTTACATGGGTCTGGCTTGCACAATGACCATGAGGAACCACTGTCTGTTGCCCACTTAGCACGTGCTCGAACACGCTAAGCCTGCCACATCGCATCCAGCGAGACGAGTGGCAAGCCATCATCGAAGAGAGGCACGCACCTGATGAAATCGGTTCATCGTGCATGCGTGGGTGTGCATGTGACACGTGGGTGTGGGTGTGCGTACACCTTGGACTCAGAGGATGCCTTCGGACTCATGTGCTGTTGGTCCACCAACGAAGCTGACAGTAAAGTGTGAGGATGGAGATGGGAATGTTCATCTCTGTACCCACTGCAATTTGCTGAATGAGTAAGGCACCACTGATAGATGAGTTTGAGTCATTGAAACTCAAATTGTCAATGGGTAAGGCGCCACTGCCGAGCTGACCTTGGCTTTCTAGGCCTCTCTTTTCCCCTTGAGTCGTAGCTGGGAGCACCTGACTTTTCTGTTCCTTTCTTTCGTTCTGCCTTTCTCTCTTTTCTCTCCTTTATCGCTTTCGCTCTCTCTCTCTCTCTCTCAGCTACTTTCTCTTTCTTTCTTTTTGTCTTGATGTGTCCCTGGACGCGTGCGTCCTAGCTTGGAGTGTTTTGTTTCCTTTCTTTTCTCTTTCGTTCTCTTTGCTGTCTTTTCTTCTCTCCTCCTCTTCCTTTTCCTTTTCCTTTCGCCGCCTTCTTCTTAATTTGCGAGCGGCATATCTACAAGCTTAACCAGGTAAGCTCACCAAAGGCGTGGATGATGAGGCTTGGGTTGGGACCGCCTCACCTGGTTCTTTCAGCCTTACACACCTTTCCTGTTTTCCTTTCACGTCTTGTCATCGAAAACTCATGTTTCTCTTGCGCACCAAACGATTCGGATCTTAGAGGGGAGAATCTGCGCACGGACGCTACGCCCGAGGCTTCCAAGCCCAAGGCTTCTTGCTTCACCGGTGGTCCCTGTTCGCTTGGTCTTTCCCTTCACAAGTTGGCATGGCTTTTCTCATCTTTTCTCCCTTTGGATCCCTTTGGTCTCTCCCTTCACGTCCTTCCGCCTGTGCCCCGCTTCGGCGCTTCGGGTGCTTCGGTGCCCCGAAGGTCGTCGCGCCAGGGCTCCGTCGCGCCAGGGCTCCCGGCTCCTCCCACAAGGCCTCGAAATCGACCTGCAGCGATACTGAGCCAGGGAAGTGTTTTCAGAAACGTCACACTGGCCATACTGAGTGACCTTTTTCAGCGACTGATGGAAGGTCTTCACTTAGAAAACGCCCAAAAGAAGAACTAGAGCCAACTGAACTGAAGCTTGGAGGGTTCACAGCTCATCCACCAACATAGCTCTTTCTGGCAGACATCAGGATGTCTCCGGAAACCATGTCGGATGTATGGGAAAGGGTCCTGCCTCAGTGGTCCAGGTTGGAATTATTTTGTTCATCCAAGAAAATCGACAGTATCAATAGCACCAACGCGGACCCCTTTCCGCTATGAACACCAACTCTGAAGGCAAGCCCTCGATTCGAAGCATCTGATCCTGGAAAGAAACAAAATCATCCGATCTTCGAAAGGATGACTTTGAGATGATTTCCCTTTGGAGGCCTAAACCAATCTACACTCGATGCACTTTGTCCGAAGATGGTCAAAAAATTCTGACCTGTCAAAGTACGCGTTAAAAATCAGTGAAGAACACTTCCTGGGTTTTGCGAGCCCTCCCAGCCCTCTTTCCTGGATGGAGGCTTTCCCGACCTTAAGAAACCGTGAGTGGAGCGTACACTCGGTCGAAGCCAATCATCAAACTCAACCCCTCAACAGTTTAGCACCAAAAAAAAACAGCTCTTTCTGTAAACGAGAATTGGCTTGATTGATTGTTCATAGGAGTCATTTTAACCTTTCTCTCTAGTGTTGTCAGGACTGCACCACAGGAGTGCGCTGTCAAGACGGATGTCCGTGCCCCGCTTCATTTGAAGCAAGCGGGGCCAACCAAAACCGTCAACCCTCGGTCCAACCGTCCGAGTGAGTCAAGCCATCGTGGTTCCGGCCACCCTCGTCCGGTCACCCGGCCCCTTCCACATCGCAGGACTCCACCAGTGCTTTGAGCTCCTCCTGGAGACGAGGTGTCGGGTGGGTGGGGGTTCAAACGATGTGTGTGTGTGGGTGTGTGCGTGGCCACGTGTGAATGGCATCTTCCACCCATCTGTCTGGATCCCGCAGGTCGGACGTTCTCGCCCAAATCCATGAGCTGGAAGGCATCTGGGAGAAAATGGATTGAGCTTACACAGTAGTTGGAAACCACCTGTACATATTTATAGAGTAGTAGTTGGCCTTCCCTCAAACAAACACAGCTGTTCAATATATAACACGTGATAAGAAAAGCTCCATCTTCCAACCCCACAGAAGTTTGCTGGCCATATTTATTAAAGGACTGCCGGGGCACATGGCACTGTCTCCCACTTGCTGTCTTCCTGCAACGGAGGCTCTCCTTTGGCCTGACCGATGGGACCAAACAAAGGCTTCTCGGTTTCTCGGCCTCTCCTATATCACCCCCGGACGCGGAGGGTGATCCAAATCATGAAAAATTGTTCTGTTTGAAAGTAGAAGAGGACAGGGACACTGGGAAGCCTTCTTCATAAGCCCTCCATGGAAAGGGAAAACAAGGTGCAGCCTTCTCATTCGCTTCAGGGAGGGTTGACCAGTCAATGCAAAAGGACTCCAGTTTATTCCAAAGAATGATCCACGGATTGTGCTAAACCCCAGTCCCAAACAGCCTGAAGAAGCTCTGAAACCAACGCAAAAACATCATCCAACAGCCAAGGCCAGTCCTCCTAGGTCTCCTATGCTAGGGCCCCCGGATCTGTCCTTCGGTCTGCGGATGAGGAAGTCCCGATCAGGAACGCCCCGATCATCGAAGCGCTGGGGATTCAAGAGTGCCTGGCAACACGACGACACGACGGCACGACGTGAACAGGAGAGTTGGTGGTCCTACACCGACCAAAGCGAAAAAGGAATCCCAGTCAACCTCCAACCCCAAATCCTAAAAATAATGGCATGTGCGGTCGAGTACTTGCATCGCGGAGGAACCATCACTTGCATGCGGGGAACAAACGGTCATGTTACTCAAGAGATCGATTCCAGCAACGAAGAATGCATGCCAATCCAAACTCGGGTCTCATTATTTTGGTTGATTCTCAAGGAATTTACCCTGCATCACGTGTACGACAACTTCTGAAATACTGGTCTATTGGTAGACCTCCAGTGAGATCTTGAGTGAGAATCCCTACATAAATAGAAACAATAAGCTACTAGGAACAAGTGCATCGCTACTAGGAGCAAGGGCCTTACTAGTAGTAACAAGAAGCGATTAGAAACAAGAATTAAATACTTCTGCTTTTGCCCATCCACTCGGAAGCACCTCCGTGCGACACGACACCTGTTCGGCACACGTCGAACCGCTGGACCGGCGCACCGCGGCGCTGCACTCATCACCGTAGCTGCAGTTGTCGGCAATGGACCGCTTGTCTGACGGCGGCGGAGCCCACCCCCCACAAACAACCAGGCTGACGCCTGCGAAAGAAACCAAATGCTCTTCAGATGTCAACTACACCGACTTTGACTTATCATGACCCATCCATTTGCACTGGTTTCAGAGTAAATGGCACAAACCCTTGCATGTCCTTCAGATGGGGTTTCATATAAACCACCTTTGGGGTGCCATCTACTCTGAAACCACTGCATACTGTATAGGTGTCACATGTTTTGGCCTTCTTGGATTTTGAGTTTGGACCTAGCGCAAATGATCTGATCATAGTTGCATGCTATGTGCTCACCGTCAGTTTATGTGCCCATGAGGTGGGACTGCAAGAAGAATACATCTCAGATCTCTTATCATCTCTTATCCAATATGTGGCTGCTCAAAACACATCATCAAAAATATAAAACATCATGGAGGCAAAAAGAAGCGCCTCTGACTATCCTCTCTACCTTATACCCCCATACCTCTGTCCGGACTCCACCGACTCTACCCCCCTTTTCTTCTGCCCTGAGCCAGCTCCTGGAGGCGGCGCAGGGATATCCGTGCGCACCTGGCGGACATCGGACACGAGTGGGATATGACACGGCAGAGGCAAAGGAGAGGTGTTCAAACCGAAAACAGGTGACGACGGCCGAAATTTGGTGCCTTCGGTGGAAGGGTGTTCTATCATGCTCTATCCAGCAAGGATGGTTGTATACGGAAAACGTTCGAAAATGCATCTCAACACTCAACACCACTTTAAGGAATATGGAGGAGAATGGAGATCATATGAGCTTTATATGGACTTCATGACAACGACGAAACAGAGCAAGAAAAAGAAACATCCAAGTGCCTGTGCGAACCTAACCCGAAACGTGGAACAGTGTTAAACAGAAAATGCCAGTCTCAAAGTTCCTAAGGGAAACTGTCTCGGAGAGAAGAAACCTGAATAACTAGTCTGTCTACTTGCAAATGATCTATGAATCATGAAAACTCATGGACTGCAAACCTTGTGTTTAAATCTCGAAATCTCGACTTCCGACTTCAGTCCAAAAATGCCGGCATCACCGACGGCACTCCAAACCTGGGCAAGCCCAGGTAAAAGGCGCGTGCCACGATGCGCGTCGATGTGGGGTGCACGTCGATCCCTGTCTCCTCCATGTGTGAAGTCCAGGAATCCATGTGCCATGAATTCAATGAACCCGAAATCGAAAAAAAGAGAGAGCTCTCCAAAACTTGTCTCGGAAGTCCTGAATGACAATCTACTTGCGGAGCACGCACGATCTACGAGAGCCCCATGCTGGTATTCCATCTGTTTTCAGAGAAGATGACGAGCTCACATGTGGGTGTCCAGTCCAACCCACATCAAGCATTTTACAAAAGAAAAATGCAAACTGAACAACCAACATTTGGGAATGTCTACCTTCGACCTGCCTGCCGGGCATCTCCTGATCTAGGCTAGAATTTTAAGGGTGCTCGCCCAACAACAAAAACCGCACGGACTCAAATACACTCCCACCTACTAAAATATCCTGTCGATGAACAGTGACCCTGCTTAACAGGCCATCAGTCTTCTGAGGCTTGGTCATTTCACCTCGCAGCAGTTGTTTTTCACCGCCTCCCTGAACATTTCCCCCGGAAAGCAGCCTTCTCCTCTACGGCTTGCTTGTTGGAAAGGGTTTCTTCTGTGATACAGCTGAGAACTCCTCCCAGTGCTCTTCAGCACCTTCGAGAACCCTCGACAATCTTTTGTTTGCCATATTTGGACTCCGTTTGGAGTTTGGGTGTGTGGATGTGTCTGAGAAGCTTGGACACCACCCACAACCTTGCTCAGTGTCCGAAGAATTGTTGTTTCAGCCAAACGACGATGCCGGGTTGCGGGGTTTTTTGGAAAGGTGTCGACATGGCTAGCAAAAAATGTGACGACACGAATCACCGACAAAAAAGGAATAAAGGTGCATACTGGTTGGTGCCTCCCTCCACGTGTTGGACTCAACCACCCACCAACCGTTCATGCCGTTTCACTCCAACCGTTTCGAAACGGGTGTCCCCGCGCACGGGTCGCCACCGTCACCTGGCAAGACGTCCAAGTTACCCCAAAAGAAGGATGGTCCAACATGGAAGGAGGGGTAGAGCTAGGAACAAGGACGCTACTAGGAGCAAAGGGCATCGCTACTACGTAGGAGCAAGGAAGCTACTAGGGCTCCTGGCCTTACTACCAGGAACAAGGACGCTACTAGGGGCTTCCATCCCATGATTTGCGGCAAAGTCCATGAGCTGACACAGGAGTGTCCAGGGCATGTGAAGCATCAGTCCTGCATGTGCAGGTTTGTTGACTGTTATTAATGAAATATATTGAAATATATACCAGTATATATACTCTTGTTTGCCTTCCTTAGTTGGCATGCGCATGCAATTTATTCTATCTGGGGGGCTCTCTTGGATTGTCGTCCTCTAAAAGGGAAAGAAACATGTTCGGGACATCTTGGCTGGGTTAGGAGCACTTCTGCTCGGATTTCAAAAGCCAATCAAATAAGTTACACATCACAAGAAACCATTGAAACATAATCTTAAATTTAGGGAAACCACCCTCTAATTGACAGTGCTGAAGTTTGAGGAACTGTGCACCGTTCCTACTGTGCCCTCCTCTACTAAGCGCCAAAATGTGTTCGACTGGCTGCGTGTTCGCCCTTTCGTGCATGCACAAGCAAGCACACTGCACCGATACTGCACCACACTGCACACTCTATATCAGCTGTGCAGCCGCCCCTCCTGAGTCCCCCACATTCCGCCGGCCCGGCTTCAGGCATCGACCGAGGTCCTGCGACAGCGCAGACCGATGCGACAGCGCAGCTGCAAAGACCGATGCGACCGCGCACATCACAGCGCAGAGACACGGAAATCCCTGGTTGTCTTTTGTTGTTTTTCAACGTGCTACAGTTTCCTGCTTTTGCACGCATCTCCATCGGCAACACTTCCACCCATTGCACACCACACCAACACAAAGGTTTCTGCATGATTGGCTGACATTCCGGCACAAGTCACGGCAAAAGGTTAAACACAAAGTCTGCAGGCTGCTTGGCAAGTACAGCCGGAGCCAGCCAAGCGCTAGGCTTCAAATGCGACATGCTCGGATGGTGTCTAAATGCTCCTCAAAAAGCTAAGCAGTGGTGTAAGCCGCCATCTCTCAAACCAACTTCGGCCTGTTGCTTAAGAAGGCCTGGTGCTCCTGCCTTTCGATAACAGCACTGGGCTCCAAACTTACATGCAATCTGTCTTGCTGAGGTCATCTCCCACTCTCCAGAGTCAGCTTTGTCTTCTTTTGCGCCAAGGAGATCATTGACGCACACCGCTTTGCATTGATCGTGTTGGCTGCCAAGCACTTGCAAAAAGGCCTCACAGCTCCGAATAGCAACCAGCCCTGCCTGCACCAATCCTTGTGACTGCTGGTAGCCGTTGGTGCTGAAGCAGCACGACTGCAAGGGGCCGTAAGCGCCGCTCGTGCCCTGGATATTCTCCAGGGCATGAACCATCGCCTACACCAGCTTGTGCAAGAAGTGCTTGAAGCGCCCTCAGGAGCTTCCTTGAAGCCTCCAAACATGACTGTTAGTTGAGGCTGTACCTGAGTTTGGCTGCACCACCCGATGGCTGCAGACACACTGGACTCTGCACAAAGCTTACTCGAAGCTGCGAAGCTTTACTCTTTCCCATTGCAAAGGCTGGTGAGGAACATGGAGCACGCTGAGGAGAGCAAGCCACTTCACCTTGTGCGAAACACTGTTGAAGATCCGCATGGTCACAAAGCACATCCGTCCGCCGCCACCGCCAAAGCCACTCTTCCCAGTCCTGCGGAAATCCGATTTTGACCGGAGAGCCATCCTCGACTCCGCCAGCTGCTGCTGGTCCAGTGGTATCCCAAGTCAGTCACCTGTCACCTGTTCTAAACACCCACTCGAGTGCTGCACATTTCAAGAAAAGTCTCAAGCAGTCCCTCAATAAACACCGAGTAAGCAAGTCTTGTGGAAATAGATTGCATAGCTTGCATGTTCGTTTCCATAGGCACAATCTGCAGAATCACTAAAGGAACAAAACTCTGTTCGTCCAACTGATTAATTTAGTTATTTAGTAACAAAAAAGACACGCGTGAGCACAGCAAGTCAGCAAGGTGCATCCTGACGTCAACAGGTTGAAATCCATTGACCCAAGCTACCAAAACCAAGGAGCCCTGGAAATCAGGAACAAAGGCCTTCATTCTCAAATCAACAGTATCCAGAGACCAAAACCTGCGAGACGCTCTTGGAGAAACAAAAGCCTGCCTGGTTTGGTGTATGTCTCACCCAAACCTGCGAATAAACGTAAATCAACGCGTGGGATCGGCCCTCGGCTCCGCAGCGGGCCTGGTCAGGAAGCTGATCCTCCAACGCGTAGTACCTCTCGACAGAGATGGTTTTCGCACACGACACGAAGGAAAAGCGCGACTGACGGGTCGAGAGTGGCCCCGATGCCAACATTTCCGGCACATGGACCTAGTGGCGCAATTGATTCATCAACAGGTGGGGCTCAAAAATGCGATACACCTTCACCACAAGTGCCCAAATGAAACACAAACCAAAAATGAACAAAACCATACAAAACCTGTGGTTTCACATTCAGGTCCTGTTGCAAGATCTATTGGTTTGCAAAACAGCTTCTTCAACCAACCTCGCAAGGGCGTCTGCTGCGCACCCCTGGATGCAACTCTTGGCTGTGTAGTCACTGATGCCTGACCTGAGCATTCCAACGTTACGTGGAGTTCTCCTCTACGTACCTTTGAATCCTTTTGAAGTCTCACTGCAGTTTCGCAAGTCTGGTTTACTGCCCTAGTTGGCACGTGTGAAAGAGGAAACCAGGAGTGCAATCAAAGTCTCAGCTGGCAAGAAGCTGTGCCGGAAAAATCCTCTTCCAGACCCTGACTGAGCAGAATCTCTTATACCAAGCAGGGTCAGGGCTCACCTGTAAAGAACCAAGTCCAAATCCATGTGGAGACTGACCCCCAACAAGTGTCCCCAGAACGAGCACGGCTCATCTCAAACGGTTGCTCCGTTCTTTCGCCCGCAGGCGGCGCCTGCGTGGCCGGGCTCCCGGGCTTTACACCATGTTGAAAGTCTGGGTCCAAAGGAGGACCATTGGCCTGACAGGTATTGACATCCAAGGATTAGGGGGATGGGCGTGGCGAATCACAAGACTGACCAAATCTCCACTTTGGAAGGCCCTGTAAAAAAAGATTGACCAGCTATGAACTTTGAACCACCGAGGCCGCAGGATGTGGGTATCTGCACTGGCCGGGTCAGAGGTCGATCACGTTTGTTCGGACGGGGTGAACGACCATGATCGACCTCACCCAGGCGGACAGAAGGATCCCTGAAATGGCCATCTTCACCACTTCAGCCCCTTGGTCGAACCAGTGAAGAACCCCAGATCTTTGCCGAACCCCCCAAGCAAATCCTCATCTGCCGGTCAAACCAGGAAACCCAGAAGCCAGGCCAGGTCGACGCCCTGCTTCGCATGGGCTTTGTGGTAGACCTGGCGGATGTGTTGACTGCACCGAGCTGAGGCAAGAAGTGCACCGACCGGAGGTAGCTCACATATGAGATAAGGAACGGGTCAGGCTTGCCCATCAAACCAGCATGGGAGTATTGTGGCAAACCCTCAGCCAACAGAATTCGACCTTGAACCAAAGCATCTGTTCAGCTAGCGTCTCCTAAACACTTCCAGAGAAATCCTCCAGAATCTTGAGACACCAGCCACAAGCATTATTTCTTCAGGAAACACCTGCGAAAACGAATTCATCTCAAGCACCTACCAGCATCTACCAGCATCTACCAGCAACTATTGGAAATATGGCCTGCAGCAACAGTGTTGTTTCGTCTCCGCTGTCCCCTGACCAACTGGAGGTCATCCATAGCAGCAGGGGAGTCATGCCCATGCCCCAACAAGGGCCTGATACCCCCCCCAACAAGGGTCGGATACCTTGACGTCAGTAATATAATCTCTGACACATCAGTCATCAGCCCGTGTGAAAACAGAACCACCAATCCAGCCCGTGTGGTGCTTTCGTGGTCGCCTTCGTGTGCTGCACCGTTCGGAAATCCTGTGTCGACACGGGACCGTTCTTCGCGTCGGTCTGCGGGTCTTCGGTCACCCGACGCGGTCGGGTCTGGGGATTCCAGGTGGGATGGCGTGTGCCATCCATGGTCCAATTCTGGGATGGCATGGTCCATTGTTGATCTGCATCCGGCCGCGCACCAATCGATCGGATGTCGATTTTTGTCCGACTGTTATAAGAAAAGAAGGACAAATAGGACTGCCGCACTTCTAAAAGCAGTTTGGAACCATCGGGAAAAATGGTCTCCTCCACATTCTTCTGCACCAGTCGAGTCTTCCGAACAGACCCTCAGTTCGCAACAGGATGAGCGTGATGCAGGCCGTTCTGACCAACAGGTCGTCTCCCATGAAAACCCCTGCTAGAACATTGAAATCTCACAAAGAAATGGGAAGACAGCGGAGGTTCCATCAGCTCTTCTGTTCATTCAATCAAGGGGAACCAGTCCGCCTGAAATGTCTAATGCAGTCTGGGTTCCATCATCTTCAACGTCCCAATTTAGGGCCTCACTCTTCAGTGTGCTGTGCTGCGAAGGCGCACTAGTGTGCTGTGCTGCGAAGGGGCACTGAGCAAAACAAACAGCTCCGCGGGGGAGCAGGAGACATTACTTGCTTCATCTTGCTTCAAACAAACGAACTACGCGGTCTCGGCTTGATAGATTGGTTGAGCATGGTTGAGCAGATCAAATGCACTTGTAAAGCACGGTGCCGAGAAAACAAACTGCAAAGGAAAAACTCACAAACGGTTGGATCTAATGAACATGTGCAACATACATGCCCTCTGGGTAGCCCGTTCTTTGTCTGCAATGACTTCTGCGTCTTTGCGTGTGATAAAATGCAAAAACACACATCATAAAAACACCAGGCAACCTGACAGACTACCGGCACCTACAGTCCATGGTAAGGGCACCAATTCCTTGCCCCATTTGGGCCATTTTCCACCTCAAGCTTGAACACTTCAACTCCAAGCCCACCACCAAGCGAGCACCTGCTCCTTCCTATCACAATCAGAGGCTTCAGAGGTGTGCTGAAGTCCAGGCTTGCAACACGGTGCTTCAACAATTGTCAATCAATCTCTTTCCCTTCAACATCCTTCAACGGCCAAAGGCATGAGTTTTTGATTTCCACCCAAGACTGACACAGAAGCACCCTTCTTAAGTAGGGGATTCAATCTTTGAGAATAGTTACTTCGTTTCTTGATTTCCTCTTCCAGAAGTGTCATCTTCCCACCCAGACCATCACACTGCTCCTGCGCTTGCCCAAGCCCATGCCCGAAGCGGAACCGGGAGTCCTGGCCACGAACGAGGATGATACGTGGGACCCGCGTAATCCTGTGACAAATCCCTGCACAATTCCTTCTTCGTATGTGACCAATCCCGGAATTTCCGAGCCCTTCGTATCAGGATCAACACCGAAAAAATCATGCAACCCGTCTGCCTTTGTTTCGCGCCCCCTAAGACACTCACTCTACGTGAGAGGCACCGTGCTCGCCCTACTTCCTTCCAGGCACGCGCCACGCCCGGAACGCCTTTGTCTCGGCCGGCCATCGGTACTTGCGCTCGATGCCTCCAGAGACGGACGCGTCGAGCGGTGCACGCGGTCCAACGCCGCGCCCGCGCGCCATGGACCGTAAGGACCGTTGGAAGATGGAACCCTTACGGCCTTACGCGTCTTGACGTTTGGGGAGGGCGCCTCAGATTGTGGCCCTGAAAAATAGGACATTGAAACAAAGCGGTGATGTATGTACTGTATGTACTGTATGTGTATACATACATATATATATATATATGTGTGTGATGTTTGGTAGGCACAGTGATTCAATCCTGTGATTGCTCTTGTTGGCCCAGGACCAGCACGACATGTCCGACAGCTGTGGAAAGAGCTTGTCCCAAATGAGCTGAGACAGGTAGGGTGTTTTCCCTTCTACGAGTCTTGAAACCTGCCAGATTCGCCAGATTCTCACTCAACTGTTGAACCAGAATCAAGGACTATGCTTGCAAGTAGAGTTGCACATGCAACTCCCGTTTTGAGCTATGTTGCAATCATGGACCAACACATCTCCTTTTGTCCAATGCGGTAAAGACACGCTCGCCAGGGTTGAAGTTGTTGTGCCTAGGTGCATGAACACAACCGCTCCAACTGGAAATGGCCGAAGACGTGAATAATACATTATGAACATATCGACTCGCCATGAAATTGCAACGCATAAGAATCTGCAAACACTTTTGGGGTGGATTGCTGCCAAGTCGTGCACCCAAAAGAAACATGGGACAGTGCAAGTGAATCCGGCTGGTCGTAATGTTTGTCCAAGCTCCAGGCGTGTATTTGTACAGCAACCTGTGCTCCTGGCGGCTTCGCACGGCGCGGCCGGACACGCCCTCCGCACGACCACGCGGCCCGGGCGCGTGGCGCGGTGCGTGGCGCGGTGGCCCGGCGAACGGGTGGCCCCCGACTTGACCACACTCCCTGCCTCCTTGTCTGGCGGCTGGTGAATCTGGGTGCGACGCTGGTGCGTTAGTTGCAAAGTCAAGTGGCATAGTCCAACCCTGGTACTGCATCTAGTAGTAGAAGTCCCCTCAAAAAAGTAAAAAACTGAACTAGAGGTTGATCCCATGCTTTTGGATGTCTAGTTGTATGTCTCTATGTCCGACAGCCAAGCTCCTCTGCTGAGTTTGTACATGTTTGCAGAGTCTGTCATTCGGCAGTTGTTGGATACTCAGTCATTGCACTTCTTTGCCAACCTGAATTTCCTCCCAGTATCGGAGACCCCCACCCACAGCTCAACTGAGCAGCAGACCCCATAGATGACCTCCTTGCCATTTTGCGGTTCACCACCTGATGCACTCCAAAAGCTTCAGCCAAGAAAAGGTGCTCCAAGGCCAGCTCTGTCGACAGCATGCGCTAAGGAGTCGGCTGGGATTGCCGAAGCCCTCGGGCAGCATTTTGATCCTGGCGTCCGACCGGGGTGACCCGACCGCCCTGACCCGGTCTGACCGAGACAGCAACGATCTGGCTGTGGCTGCACCCGCAAAACAATGGTCGGCTATTTGGAGGTGAATCAACTGGTCTACTCAATCTATCTACTACCATGTTACACATTCCACTTCCTCCGAGGCCGCCCATCAAACATGCCGATGTCGGACGCATGCCCGCGGTTCCAGGGTCTTCCTGCCAGGACAGCTGATGCATACAACATGACATTCACGGTTGGTTACATAAAATAAGCCCGGATACATGTCCCTTCAAATCGTGCGAAAGCCTTGAGAATCACTGATCCGTTCCTTCCTCTAATCATTGCAGGAGGCCTAGGGGCTCTTTCTTGCGCGACTCGTAGATGGACTCGGCCACTTCGTTCTGATAGGCAGCGACCCCAAGCAGGAGGCCAGCCTGGCCAAGGTAACGTGCAAGCAGGGGAGGCCCCGCCCACGTGGCTTCTACCAAAAAGATCTCCAGGGTTCCCACACTGACATGTTTCGGGTCTCCACGGAGTTCTCCACGGATCGCTGGGGTAAACTTCCAACTGAGGGAGTTTTGAGTACTGCATCGAACACCCCAAAGGACTTTAAAACGTCCCCAAATAGGACACTCACAACAACGAATCCACACAAATGCTGTTGCTCCGGCCTGAAAAAGAAGCTACAGGGCTGGATTCCCATGTACGCACCTCGCTCTCCAGAAGAGCTGTCCGAGAAACATGCGACTCGGACAGCCGGACCGCGGCACTCGGCGCTCCCGACCGGGCGGCACACCCGACCGGGGCGTGCCTTCATGGTGTCTTCGGTGCTAGCGCCCTTTTGGCCCCGAATGCCGTAGCGGAAGTCCTGGCGTGTCCGGCGGAGACGCTTCCGGCGTGCCCGGCGTGCCGAGCGACTTCAAAAAGAAGAAGGAGACAAACCCCATCATTGAAAACCGAAACCGCCGGAAGAAACCGCACCGAAACCCCCCACGGCGTCCTCCGCTGGGAGCAGCTGATCCTTCAGGCCGTGATGAACCTCGGTTCGGATCTGTTGGACCCATGCGGTGCTCGTGGTAGGAAAAACCATGAAAGAAGAAAAATAAAAAGGATCCAAGAGGGAACTCCCAGCAGGGACCCCTAGAATTCCACGAAAAATGGTGGGACATCTCGAAATATGATTTTGCCCCTTGCCTTTCAGTTTGTTCACACTTGCTGTGCCGCTGACTTCAACTCCGGCATTATCCTGAGTTCGCCGCGCAAATCTCCCCCGGGCCGTGTGAGATCCTGCAGAGGAAGACGAGGGTCCCCGGTGCAGGACAAGAAGATGCAAGAAGTGAGTTTGGGTCCAAGTACTAGAGATTTAGATGGAATACTTACAGATAGTTACTATATGTTACTATTGTCTGATGTGAGTATCATCGTTTTCCATCTGCCGTCTGCCAAAAAAAAGATGTGAGACCAATCCACCTCTTCATCGACCTCCAAAACACGGTCCACAACGGCCTCCTGCACCATCCTAGCCTTCAAATAAACCCTCAAACCATCAAGCACCAGGTAACACAAATCATCACCACCATGAATAAGAATCAACCCACGGGGTTCCCCCAAACCAAAAAGAGGTCTTCAGTGACCGTAAACAGGACCTGGAGTACCTTTTTTGGGGTTCTTCCACCTCTGTTGGAACCCCGGGCCAGCCCAAACCCCCCACCTGCGGAATTTCCGCTCGCTCACAGGCGTCGCGGGCAGCGGGAAGAAGATCTCCGGCGCCAAATCCTGCTGTGCCGAGTCCTCGGTCAGGAGCGCGAGGACAAGGCCCCTCCCACACCCACCAATGCCAATGAGTCAATTTGCAAGTTTGAACATGAAAGGTTAAGTGGCTACCAAGAATAACCTTAATATAACCCTTTTTTCAATACAATTACTATTATATACTATGGATATGATTATCATCATTGTCGGTTTTTCGGCAATCCTTAATTTTGAAACGACCACTGATCAACCGAATGTCTATGTCATCCAGACATCTTCAGACACGTTCCCCCCAAGATCAAGATCGCGCCGAACAAAAACCCGCCTTCTCACCCGATACTTGATAACTTGGAGGGACGAATTACTAGTTCAAGTTTCACGGCCGCCCAAGATGTTCATCAAGGTTCCACGGCCGTGCCTGGACCATGTTCCACCCTCTTGGAGGGATGTCAAATCTTCGCTTGTTGCTTCGCTCGTTTCAAAATCCATGGTCTTGTACAAGAGCATGCAATAGCATGCAACCAGCTGCGCTGCAAAGCACCAGGCATGAACCACGTCCACATGCGCAAGGTTCCAGGAAGGCACCCCAAAATGTGCAACACATGAAAGAAACAAGAAACCTTAGGCGACACAAGTCCCTGAGAAAAAACGCAACCTCTGGGCAAACAGTGCTCCATGACAACGAGACCTGACAGTCGCTCAACTTCAAGGAAGTGCCACCCCGGACACTTGACGGGTGTGCCTCAGTTCAGACTCGCCAAGAGCAGCATCGTTTGGACTCGGGTGACGCCAACAGCTTGAAACGAAGCTAAACACAACGTTTTACACGAACGAAACAAAGAGGACGCTACGAACGTAACAAAGGGCATCGCTACGAGTCGGAAAGATCGGACGCTACGAACGGGGCGCTCTTGGCCTTACTACTAGCAACAAGAACGAAATATTCGGCCAAGAGGCACCCTCATCTTCGGCCCTAGAGGCCACCCTTCGCCCAACGTTCATGATGGCACTTCATTGACCCCCGCATCGACAGAAGAGGTCGGTTCGCCCAAAGAATGGCCGAATTCCACGCGGTTGCCTTCAGAGATTCTTGTTAAATCTCCTTCTACACCCCCAAGTCCTCCGATCTTAGGGTGAAGTATGTGTTCTGTGGCAGCTTCAGCATGTCAGGACTTTATGGCCACTACCTAAGTTGCTAGTTGCTTCTGCCCAAGTATGGGATCGGACACTAGAGTTAACATCCTTAAATCAGGTATGTTGCCATGAAGCAGTTAAGATTGGCAAATGAGTTGTGCTCAACCAAACGCCGCCAGTATATGTTCCACAACTCCCAACCCATGTGTGATCAAAATACAGCCTTTCCCTCTCACTCTTGGCTCCCACACATTTAAGGGCACGTTGATGGACTTTCCCGCGGGCGGAATGTTGGGGAAATGGTTCTTGAAGAGTCCCTCAGGGCATTTGCAAGTGTGGCTTCCAAGGTCCTTCCCTTTAGATCTCCAAAATTGACACACGAAAAAGCAGAATGGGCTTGGCTCGATGACGGTTGATATATATATATATATATACGACTAATCAAGGCAACCGCAAAAGTCATTGGCTGTCACTGTTTCATGTTTCATTCACCAACCAAGGGCATCGAGGGCAAGGCCTCTCTGGAGCCACAGTCATGTTCAGATGGAATCAGTTCAAGTCATCACAACAATCCAAATTAACTAATAGCGTCCTTGCTCCTAGTAGCGATGCACTTGTTACTACTAGTAAGGCACTTGTTTCTACTAGCAAGATTGCATCATGGCTCAGGCCAAGAACCTGGACTCGGGCCTTGAAACAACATCTCGCCCGTGGCATCAAAAACAAGGAAGCTGATGAGAATCTCGTTCAAGACATTCAGTGGAAACCCTCAACCATCCTCAACCCGTCATGAAACGCGGCACCTTGGATTTCATCTGTTCATAGAGGGTCGTGGTAAAGACCTGGGAGCTCGAGCCTGGCAGGCTTGCGTGGGATTGGCGGTGTGTTGGGAAGATTCTGGTGTGAATGACGCCATAGGGAGCGGTTCAGCTTGAGGAAATGGCAAGTTCAAGTGAGATTAGGGAGCCAGTAGGGAGAGCAGCTTGCTGGGTTGCTTTCTTGCCTTCTTTGAGCTGCAGGAGCTTCTAGTTCTCACACATCGGAGCGAACGGAAGGACAGCTCGCCTCCCAGCGCGGCGGCACCGGCCTGGCGAAGAAATGCAGAGTCCAACCAATGGATTTGATTAATCCGACCAATATGCTTCCCCTTTGTTCACTCTTCGTGAAGGAGTACCTTTGGACTGTTTGGGGCGGCGTCACCACAGGTGACAACATACCCTTCTCCAAAACGAAGGCCATGAGATCTTCGCTCATCTCGGAGACTTGTTGCGATCCATACCGAAAGACAATGAAACAGTCAAGCAGGGGTTCATACCTCCAGTAGTTGAATCACCCAAAATGAACCGTGAACAAAGCAAAGCTGTCGCAGGATGATGGTTGCTAAGGTCAAGAGTCATAAGCTTGGCAAAACTCCTTTTTGATGCAGAGAGCCACAAGTCACAAATGCAACCGCAATAAATCATCTTCAAAAGAACCCTCAAATGCCAGCCATAGTTCCGGAGGGGCAGCGGCGTCATGTCTGTTGGGGCCCACAAGTGTCCCCAGTTTAAAAACCGTGTCACCAAACTCCTCATTGCACTCTTCGGCCTTCTTCAAGCTGGAACTGCCTGATCCTGCCAACACGACGAGATGCTGCTCAGACTCAAAAGTGCGCCCCAAAAAAATCGTTGGGAAATGAATAACATGAATATTGCAAAACCTGCAGGTTTCTGGAGTCCTGTGCTGACCCACAGATCTTCCACGTGTCAAGTCTCGGTCACGAGAATACCTCCTTTTCGTGGCACTGGAGTCCAGCTTCGCCAACCATCTTGCACCAATATACATGTCATACATTAGACTTTGTGTATAGAGAGAGAGAGAGAGGGAGCGAGCGAGTGCGTGTGTGCTTCCAACGTCCCGCTCAAATGCCTTGGCCCTTTGCACTTACTCCCCTTGTTCCGGATCCGCCGTGTCGTTCCGCAGTTCCTCGTCGTTCCGCGCCCAGGTCGGGGGCCGAGGCACTCTGGGAGAGCCTTGGACTGGACAGAGGGGTGTCGGTTGTTCAATTGGGGATCTGAAAATACAAGGCCATCAACCGCAGCCAATGCTCCGTTTCTGTAAGTGCCTTTGCCTCAAAAAAGTCCACATAGCAGACATACCAGCAATTTGTGCAGCACGTCGAGTTAGCCCACTAGGAACCCGTAGCACCTCTCACTGCTTCAACACTTCCCCAAAAGAATCGGCATTCGCTATTGCTGCCTGGCTGCAGTTGCTCTGCCTCAAGCCAACCAAACATCCCAGCACCCACCCACCCATAATTACCCATCCAGACCTGTCCATACCAGTTCATACCTGTCCATCTGTCTCTTGGCCCATCTGGTCCATCCAAATGCTACCGGATCGCACCATAGCGGCCCGCAGTTAGCCTGCCCCGCTGCTCGGGGCGGCCGCGACTAAGACTGAGACTGAGCAAAACAGGTCGCGCTACTCTCAATGCCACTGACCACAGACTGGGTTCATGCTGGAATCTGTCGAGGCAAAAGCAGTGATCCCACCACAGATCCATTGCTGCCCAAAATAGTTGCTCAAAGCCCATTGCTGAACCGTAGTTTCTGAACCCATCCAGTTTCTGAACCCGTGGTTTTAGTTTCTGAACCCTAGTTTCTGCATGTGGACCATTTTCTGAACAAGTGAGCTTTGCAGGCTCAAATTTCGACCAGATCCCTGCACACCCTGACCGTGACCCCACAAAACATGAAACACTGTCTGCTCCGGGCCATTTCTTTTGCCGTTTCCACGTGGCAGGACGCGCCAAGTCTGGGTTCTTCCGACATGGGCGTCGTTCGAAAGGCGGAGAGCAGCTTTGGACAGAGCCCGAGCACCACACTCGTCGCTCGTCGCCCGAAATGAGGGCCCAAGGATGACAGCGAGGAAAGAGTGACGCCATCAATGGTGCTTAAAACCGATAAAAGGGTGAAACATAAGTCAGTCTCTGTACCAAGACCTTGCAGCGTGCTGATATATCTTCAGCTTCACCCATCTGACAGATCACGACACTTCTCCAGTATGGCTGACAGAATCTGACAGGACTGCCAAGCTAAGCTTGCAAAGCGGAGTCTTGGCCGCTCACTCTGCAATGTGTGAATGTGTCGGGCAGCCCAGCAGCTTCCAAAATGGGTCCTTCCGAGCCATGCCTGGGCTTGACGGGCAGCGCGAGAGACGGGGACCCGAGAGAGAGAGAGAGAGAGCCCGAGGTCCTCGGACAGTGAGTATTCCGCGGACCGCTCGGTACGTGCAGGAAAAGAGGCGCGGTACCGAGCTGGCTGTGTGCACATTCTGGTTTCAGCTATGTTTTGTCTGTTTCGAGGTCGGTGAAAGGGTCTCAGCCGTTCGGTCACCTTTTTCACATGGATGGAAGAGTAGAGAGAATCACTGTAGCTACCAGAAAACTGCTACGAGCTCTGGTTTCAATGAGATCATGAGATCGAGTCAATCAAGTCACACTAAAACAAAGGACACGTCCATCGTCCGTCCACGTAAATTGGTTCATGTTGAGTCGAATACGGAGCTGCGTCGTTGGCTTCTTTGATGTGGACGAACTTCAACCCGATGGATCAGCTCCTTCGTTCTCTGACTAACCAGGACCTGGGTCTGTCACTTGTCGAAGGCCATCAGTGAATTAGGACTTGGTGAGTGTATTAGCATGAACTATCGCTGTCCACGTCCATCGTGTTATCATTGTTCACCCACTGCTTCTCACTCTCATTCATGTTGGACCTTCGCTCATAACAGGTCTGGCTCCTCTTCAACACCAAATGTTGGCCGGCACCTCCCACACGCCCAACGAGGCCTTGCCAGAAGCAAGTTGGAGCTGTCGTGGCACACGGCGGAATACTCACCGTGATCCTCCGCGCTGATCTTCCAGCCTGAGTGATTCGAGGTTGCAAAGGATCTGTCACATAGCTCAAGGCCAAATTCCTTCCATCACTTCTGGACCATGTGTTGATTGAAACGTCTGGCAAAAACAAGTCACAAGAGCCAGGTTAGCAGCTGCCGCACTTCTACGTGTGACTTCTGAGTGTGATCGTGGGCTTGTAAAAACATCTTGAACTGGACATAAGCAGGAAAAGTGACTAAGACTAAGACCTTATTGGTTGAGGCGCCTTGTCTCTTTGGACATATATGCAAGTCATCACAGCCAACACCCCCAATTCTGTTTAAATCGCAACGCTTTCAACTGCCCAGCGGCCATTTTTTGCCTCGACATGTTGTGACCCATTTCCATGTTATACTGTTAAACAACTGGTTCTCAGCACTCCACCATCATGCGATGAAAGGCTTTGGTTTGGTTATGAGCGCCAAAGATCCAGAAAAAGGAATGGATTCTGATCAATCCTCCTGCTACCAGCTGGACCAGCCCAAGGCAGTCGATATAAAAAATGTATGTTTTCTCCATCCAATGCGCGGTGTCGGAAAGACACACCGTTCTTCGCCCCACGCCACCACGAAAAGCATCACCTCCCCTTCCTATCCCCTTCCTTCTTTGGGATCGGGCATCGTTCTCGTTCGAACGCGCCAAGGTGGTGCCGGCCGGTCCCGGCCGAGCAGCATCCCAAGCTGGTGCCGGCCACCAGGTCCCAACCCTCCAGCGCGCGGCCCCTCAACACCGTCAAGGTCTCACAACCTCGGTCTGACCGACCGGCGGACCGACCGAACGGCAGCGTTAGAGGTCAAGGCGATGCAGAGAACGTCCAATGACTCATGAACTACCCCGCTCTGGAAGTCATGATCCACCACCAGTTCGGGGCGTCCAATCAGTCAGTTGGACTCTGAGGGAATGCACAAACAGGAAAGTGGATCGAATCCGCTGGTGTTTTCACCAGTGTCATATCAATCAAGCAGTTCAGTCCATTTTTTCCCAATGAAAGGACTGGGGAGGATTCGAGAAGAGGCATTCGGTTCGAAGTGATGGAACATGCCAGGGTTGGCGAGCCAGAAAATGTTCTTTCTCGCTACGCGAACTGGAAAGTTCAATGCTCACAAGCTATTTCTATATACACATAACTATTCTTCCACTAGAGAACGTTTTACCAAAGGGATATGATCGTGGCTTCTTCTTGACATTGTTAGCTCAACACACTGTCAAACATACTCTGCCATATGCTGCATAGTAATCATTGCATGCATTGGGGATGTTATTAAAGCGAAGTCCTTGTTTAATACATAGTGTTCATTCAGTAAATTGTCTTGGTGATTTGATGTTTAATTGTTGATATGCAAAAGTATTTAGTTCTATGCAAACAAATTATTGATGTGATACTATTGGAATAATGGATTCATGTCTGGCCCTTTTCTGGTGATTCTTTCCCAAGTACAAGTAGAGGTATGTACTCTAGTCTTCTACTCAAGAGGGACCATGTTGCATCCGTCGCAACTCTGCAAGAAGGCGGATTGTCTGACCGTTCGCAGTGAAAAACACTTTGTCTTGGCATCAAGAAATCCAAACAATCAGTTGTCAAAAATGCAAAAGATTTGGCCAAAAAGGAATTATATATATAGGACAATTGATTCTCACCGGAAGGAGGTGAACAAAGAGAAAACGGCAGTCGATGAAGCACCCCAGAAGTCGATGAGGCCTTCGCTTGGAGAAAAAGCACAAGCGCCTCTCGCTGGCCGCAGAGGAAGCACCCTCCAAGAAGAGTCGGGCTGCTCCGGTTTCGTCTTCGTTGGCTGCTGACACCGAACAGCCAAGGACTGAGTTCGGCATCAGTCAAGGCTTCGTTCGGAACAACTGAAGGGTTGCAAGCACACTTGTTCAATTGTTCCTCTTCTCGTGTGCTTCCATTTGGCATAGGACTTGGCTGCGTCGTGCTTCCATTCGACCAAG